TGAGGTCTCCCCTGAGCCTCCTCCTCTCCAGGCTCAGCCCCCCCCCAGCTCCCTCAGCCTCTCCTCATGGGAATTGTGCTCCAGACCCTTCCCAGCCTCGTTGCTTTTCTCTGCCCCTGCTCCAGCCCCTCCATGTCCTTCCCGAGCTGAGGGCCCAGAGCTGGGCACAGATGGGAGGAGAGCAGTGCCCTCTCCGGTGTCCCCAGCAGTGACTCACTGCAGAGGCTGAGTCAAACCTGGGTTATTTTTGCTGGAGTAACAACCAGTCCTCAGAAAACACAATTAAGGGACATCAGTGGAACGAGCAGCCACGTGTCAATGGAGCCCCTGGATTCAGGGCACAGCATCTTCCTTGCCTGGACTAACCACGGGGTAAAACAGGTTCACTGTGACCCCTTTCCTGGAGATTTCCTTGTCACACGTGTCTGAAATGCAGGCAGGGAGCCAGGGAAAGGCACAAGGTGCTCACTTGTGACCCCACATAACTTCACTGAGGGTTTGTGTCCTAAAAGTTGAGACAACAGGCTAAATCTTGGTTAAATTACAGCACCAGCTGTAAAAAACCCCATAATTTTCCCCTGCAGAAACCTCCATAAAAGACCTCAAACCTTATCTGGGCAAATTCCAACAGTTGAAGAAAAGTGATTCCCAGCTGGGTTTCAAAAGGCCTCAGGAGCTCCACATCCCAAACCAAGCCCTGCTGGAACTGCCAGTGCTCAGGGTTTGGTTTTGTTCCTCCAGGGGCCAAGAGGTCCTAAACTGGGCACACAGTAACCCAGGATTTATAAATGCTATGTCTTCTCTTCCAGCAGAGCTCTGAAGTAGCTGGATCTCCCCGTTTCCCAAAAAAATCAAGATGGTTTTTGGGGGATCTAAAGGAAACTTCCCTCCCCATCAGGAAAGGTTTGGGTGGATGGAAAGCCCACCCAGTTTTGGATTAGGGAATTTTTAGGGAAACAATCTGCTGTGCACTGAATATTGGGCACGGGAATATCAGGCATGGAAGAGACTGGAATTGCACAACAGGAGGTTCCAACAACGTTACCTCCTTCTTACTTTGCCACATCCAACTTAATCAAACATCAGACAACTCATCAGACCGGTAAAAAATCAAAAATAATTTAGATGCATTTTTAAGGACTGAAATCACAGAAACCATGGAATGGTTTGAGTGGGAAGGGACCTTAAAGCTCATCCTGTTCCAACCCCTGCTGTGGGCAGGGACACCTTTCACTATTCCAGGTGGCTCCAAGTCCTGTCCAACCTGGCCTTGGACACTTCCAGGGATCCAGGGGCAGCCACAGCTTCTCTGGGAAAGCTGTGCCAGGGCCTCCCCACCCTCCCAGCCATCTAATCTCTAATTTAAACCTACTTTATTTCAGTTTGAAGCCATTCCCTGTGTCCTGTCCCTCCAGCCCTTGTCCCAAGTCCCCCTCCAGCTCTCCTGGAGCCCCTTTAGGCACTGGAAGGGGTTCCAAAGTCTCCCTGGATCCTCCACCTCTCCAGGTGAACCCCCCCAGCTCTCCCAGCCTGGCTCCAGAGATCTCCACCAAAGGCTCGACGTCGCAGCCCGAGGAGCTGCAGGGACACACGTCCTGGAGGGACCTTTCTGCCACCCGCCTTCCCCAGCACATCCAAGCTCTCCTTGGGGCTCTTTCCCTCATTCCCAGTCAGCTCTGGGCTCTGGCAGGTGCTCAGCCCCGGGAGCTGAGCGTGAGTCACGGCGGCAGCTCGGTGTGCCCGGCGCCTCCGGTGACTCACGGGTCAGGTGAGAGGAGCGAACTGCTGGGGAGCAGCAAATTCCCTTTCCCAGGTGCCTTTTTACACCTTCCTGCCTGATTGTCCTCAGCCCAGGCAGCTGCAATCAAGCCTGATGGGAGCAGCTCCCAGAGAAAGATGGATTTCTCCGGCGTGCAGGAGGAAGGGGGGGGCAAAAAAGGTGTCTCACGGTGATTCTTTAGCGGTAATTGCAAAGCTCCTCCTGAAGAAGAAGGGAAGCTTATCAGCAAGTCCACAACCTGGCTTGACAGGCATCCAGAAGGGCCCAGAAATCTCCTAAGTGGTGCTCTCAGCTGAGGAAAATTAAAACTTCTCAGTCATGTTGCAAACCAAAACAAAGATCCCCTCCGGCTCCGCGATTCTTCACTCGTTCCTTGGCCAACTTATTTCTCAGGCAAAGCAAAGCACCCCAAGCAAAGACTTCTGTCTGAATACTCTTAAATGTTTATTACCCCAAGAGGGAGGTGCTGCAGAAATATTAAAGACCAGCAGCACTTTCTCAGGGAATTCATTTCCTTCCTTCACTCACGACAGTCTCTATGAAAGCCTCGAATTTTCCCCGATTATCCTTTCAAAAATCCCACTTTTTGTCGGTGAACTCATGTATTTATCTGCAAGAAAGACTGAGGACAACTCAGAATATCAGCTGGAGTCCAAGGGCCACCACAGTCTGAGGATTTATTTCTTTATCCAGACTCGCAGTGCCCGTTCCTGGTGAGGAACAGGATCGACCTCCACGACCGGCTCTGGTTGGAAGCGCACGGAATCACATCCTTTTTATCAGATTAACTGGGACCAGAAGCCACAGTGGGCTGACCAAGACAAAGTATTATAAGAAGAAAATTGAGAATTACGTCAAGAGGAGGATGTCAGATTGATGAGTCCCTTCAGAGCTGCTCAGTTCAGACCCTGCAGGTCAGTGTGTCGCTGTCACCGGAAAGACAGCCTTGGACACGGAGCAGAGCCCGAGTTTAGCACAAAGAAAAGAAATTACTGGCCAAAAGGGGAAAAAATAATGGACAAAAAGGCAAAAACTGTCGTCAGAGTTAGGTGGATTTGGGCCCTGAGCAGCCTGGAATAGCAGGAGGTGTCCCTGCCCCTGGAACGAGATGAGCTTCAAGTTCCCTTCCAACCCAAACCATTCTGGGATTCCAGGGTTCTGTCACAACATCTAAAGTTAAATAAGGATTTGCACGAGGTTGAAAAATGTCCAGGCTCCCAGAATCCCATTAAAACTAAGGGGTGAGAGAGCCCAGATCCCAGGCTGCTGCAGAATGCACGACATAAAACCTGTAAAATCCTGTCCCTCTCCCTCATCCCTCACGGCCTCTGCTGATGGAAGGAGTGAGGGAGATGAATCCTCACACACAGAGAGAAATAAATCCAACCCTGACTGCTTATTTCAAGTGTCACTGACAACCTCAAAACAATGCTGCAGCGACACAGTAAAAGAGCTAAACTCAAGAAGGGCTGATTCATTTGAAGCCCATTTTCTCGCCCCTGGAATATCTGGGAAGTGTAACTTGAGTAACTCCCACATAATTCCATTTACTGAGCATTTAAAGTTGAGCTTTATGTTAAAAATATAAGCTTTTATTTATCTGCTGCAAGAGCCCACACGTTGTCAGGGCAGGTTTTGTCACACTCCCGTGTGCTCTGACTTCAGAGTCACTTTGGGTTTGCAGTGCTTCAAACTCCCCGGTCACACGGTCTGTGGCGTAAACAGTCCCCTTATTAATGTGCAGAGCAAAGGCCAGGCTGCTCGAAAAATTTATTTTAGGCCCGAGAAAATTAGCTGGACACCTGCAGCAGGGAAAAAAAAAAAAAGATAAAATATGGACTAACCAGCTCCTGAATCACGGCGTTAATTCGGGCAGATGACCTGCAGCCACCACATCCCTCCTCCCTGTGTGTGTCCTTCAGTGCTCACAGCCAGGGCACCAGAGCAAAGGAAAAGCAATTCTTTTCCCAACTTGTTGTTTTATCTTGGTCAAATCCACTCGGGAAGAGCAACAGAGCACTTTTTTGTTTGGTCTTTCGAGCGACGAGAGGAAAAAAAAAAACCGAAAGGGAACCAGCAGAAGCGTTTGCTGCCCTCCAGAGGAAAACCGAATTATGTTACAGCTTTAAAACACAAAGGCAGACATGAAAGACTGGTCCTGCTCAGTTCTAAAATCACTTTTTTTTTCTTGTGGATAACGTATCAAGGAAAACCCACTGCACTGAACAACAACAAGGCAGCAAAGTGGGGGATTCTCCCCGAGATTTAACAGCTCCAAACCACCAAATCCCTACTTTTTCTCCTCAGAAATGCACTGAAAAGTTCTGTATTTCAGGACGGGGATGCACACAAACAAAGCAGCCTCTGAGTTTCAGTTTCTCAGCGGCTGTAAAACGAGAAGAGCACCTCCCTGTCACTCCAAAATGCTGCATTTGAGACTGCAAAGGGGCTCGGAGCCGGGAGCGCTGACGCTCTCCGGGGTGAGTCATTCCTTACGGGAGCTGACGTCTGGCCTCCCTCAAAAAGGCAGGAGCAGCTCCCCTTTCCCAGCTCCAGGAAATAAATCCCATGGCAATGGCATTCGTCACAGCTCCCCAGCAAGGTGATGAGGCAGAAAAGGCACGAGCCCACCAGGAATGCCAAGGAATTCGGAGGAGTTTAGTGATTCCCACGTGAGGGGGTAGATACACCGGGGGGGGGGGGGGGGTCTGTCTTCTGCAGGGCTATAAATATTCTGGGCCTGAAATCATATTTGGATAAACATTCCCTTAAAAAAAAAATAAAATCCTCTTCAGTGTTTTCTGCTCTCAAAACAATTCCCTGAAGGAAAAGCCAGGTTCTTACCTGACAGCCTCCGCCACGTTGTTGGAAGTGTGACCCGACAGGGCGTCGTGCAGGTTTCTGATGAAATAATCTCTGTATTCCTCAGGCAAAGCCATGAAGGTTCCACCCATCACAATAAACTCCACTTTATCCACGCTGTGGCCCAACTGCTTCAGCTGGAAAATTAAAGGTATCATGGAAAAACTGCTGTTTTGTTTGTATAAAAGGCAGCAATTGAGCCCCGATTTTCTTACGCTGCGTTTTTTCCTTCTTGAGCTGTTGTGTCTTTTATGGATGACAAACCACTGATATTTCTGTCTAGATTTCTTGTAAACCTTCTAAAAAAATAAACAACCCTCAAAAGTCATTTTTCTGCTGCAAGAAGACAGCGCAGATATCGAGCCCAGTGCAGGGGATTTTCCTGGCAAAGCAGAATGATTTGAGCTGGTGGAGTTAAACTGGTCCCAGTTTGAAACCAGTTTAGACACGGTCAGAAGGGAAAAAAAAAAAAAATCCTTGGATTTGTCTCAATCCCTGCAGAACCAACTCTCCTTATAAAGTTGAGAGAGAAAAGGACCCCAGTGAACCCATGGAGATTTTTCCAATCCTTAGGGGGTGAACAGAAAACCAGAACAGGACTGGGAAACTCTTCAGATCTTCTGATTCTCCAGAGAAGACTCAAATAAATTAATTTTGGTAGGAAAGCCACTATTTGAGTACTAAACTCCCACAGTAATTCCCAAGAACTAGGAACTGTCAGAGAGGTTCAGCAGAATTTTGCTGGAATAGGATCAACAGGATCCTATTAATCAGGTGTTGTACAAGATCTTATAAGAGGTTCAAAACTCATTATTTACCTGATGGAAGCGACAGTTGGACAATTAAAAGGTCTAAAATGAATTTTTCCATAGAGATCAGGCAGAATTACAACTCAGAGCTGCTGACCACACAGCCCTTCTTCCAGGCAATCAATCAAATAAAAGTCATTATTTTCATCACAACCACAAGGGATTTTCCCTTCCCATTCCAAAAAAAAAATGTACCTGTTCCACTCTGTGCCGTGTCTGGAGATAGGGATCGTAGCGAGCCCGGATGGCCCTCATGGATGTGGGCTGGAAAACACAAGGAGATGCACTTTGTGAACCTTTTTTTTTTTTTTAAAGCAGTGAAAAAGACCAAAAAGACAATTTTTTAGCATTGAAACAGATGCTCCAGCCTTCAAATCCTACCTGACCTTCAAACTCACACAGAGCCCACCTGACTGGAAATACGAATTTGGCTCCTTGTATTTGAATAAAAACAAATCCAACAAAACACATTTTTGTCCTGAATGGCAACGAGACCTAAAATGATCATCATTTTTTCAATTTTTAGTGCACTACAACAGCTAAAGAATCTCTGTAGTGACTCTCAAAACTATGACAAAAACCACAAAGTGTTTTGTGAGGCACTTTTTCCCCCTCTGTTCCTTTTATTACCTTCTCACTTGCACAACTCACCCAAGCAACACCCTCCAGAGCTCAGTCTGGACTTGAATATTCTTCAAATTAAACATATTCCTTCAATTAAAATCCCCAATAACTTACTTTTTCAATTACTAGCTGATGGAAGCCTATTAATACTACTCCAAGAAGGTTCTCAAGGACCTTGTGTATCCTGGATTTTCCTGGGATTTCCTATCTGTTCTATTCAAAGCTCTAAGGGATGAGGACTCTTAATCATGCACAACTCCCACATGCTGGTTTTACTAAAAAAATGATTAAAGAAATTAATGCCACAGCCAAAAAAAATCCCCATGAATTATAAAGCAGTTACACATTCCCAGGATTTTGCTGCTTAATGGGACAAGTTTCCAGTCCCTGAGAAGTGGATAATAACAAAATCCCTCCTCAAAGGATGCTGCATCAGTGTTTATCAAATTAATCCAGTTTGTATTTTATCCCATTTGGGCTGCTTTACTTCCCTGCTACAGCTTTTTATTGTTAAAAGCAGCCACAATAATTTAGCCACATGATCAGCTGCTGTTAAACTTCCTCCAGACAACAGGAGGGCATTATTTTGGAAATATATATATATGTATATATATATTTAGTGGGATATCAGTGCAGACAGAGAGACAAAAAGGGAACAAATGTAATTTCAGAGGCATCAACAGCTAAAAAAAGGGCTTTTTTTCCCCAAAATTTGTACTTTTTTTAATTCAATCCCACAGGTTGGGCAGGACTGAAAGTAATCCCAGTTAGGACTGGGAGCTCAGGGCTGTGTCTTGGCCATCTTTGAGAAGAGACATCCCAGAACCTCTCCACATCCCTGTGGAAGTGTTTGATGCTTCATGTTCAAATGTTCTCACGTGAAGGCACAATTTTTACTCGTTTTACTCATTATTTACAGGGATTGAGTAGAATTTCCACTCCTAGAGCTGAGCTGCTTTAGATCTCGAGGTTTATAAAGGCTGGTTTTGGTTTTTATCCTTGCAACTGTGGGTGTGTTTGTAGAAATAAAGAGCAGCCTAACCCAAAGTCAGCTTTATGGAGTGTTGGGAATGTTGGGAATGCCTTCCAGCAGACTAAAGCAGTACCTCATATCCAGTGTAAGACTGTGTGGAATATTCAAAATCCGAGTCAGGTCCACCTGGGCAGTATCTGCCAAAGGGAAAGGAGAGAAAA